GCTTCTTCAGGGGACGGAGCGCTTATGGGAATGCCCCTTGTGCAGTGATGTCGGTCCTTCACACAAGTAAACAAGAAAGACCTGGCTGGATGAGGTTAAAAAGGTCCTGGAACAACATAACATATCTATCACAGACGCCACACACTTAGCACAGGACCGAAACCAGCACCCCCCCTCCCCACCCTCCACATCCTGAGGATACCAGAGGAAGGAAAAAATAAACAAGGAACAGTAAGTTAAGTATCAACAGCATGTCGTGTAGTGTCTCATTATAGAACATGTCTATGGCGCAGACTTTCCTACAAGCATTTTCCTGTTGAGACCATTGACTTTCTCTATATTGTGTCAGCGGCAAGTCTATGGCGCAAACTTTCCTGCCACTACCAGCACTTCCTTCTGAGACCATTGACTTTCTCTACATTCTCTCAGCAGCAAACGTCTATGACAAAGACTTCCTGTAGAGACCATTGACTTTCTCTACATTGTCTCAGCAGCAAATGTCTATTAACAGAGACTTACCGGCACTTCCTGCTGAGACCATTGACTTTCTCTACATTGTCTCAGCGGCAAAAGTCTAAGGCAAAGACTTAGCAGCACTTCCTGTTGAGACCACTGACTTTCACTACATTGTCTCAGCAGCAAATGTCTATGACAAAGAATTCTTGTAGAGACCATTGACTCTCACTACATTGTCTCAGCGTCAAATGTGTATTGACAAAGACTTACCACCACTTCCTGCTGAGACCATTGACTTTCTCTATATTGTCTCAGCGGCCAACTTCTATTGACAAAGACTTACCAGAACTTCCGGGGCGAAGGTCCTGCCACAGACCTTGCACGGCACGCGGGTGTCACTGTAGTCTGCAACGACAAGACAAAAAAACAGCCCACAATTCAGTCAGTTTTAGGAAGGGTTTTACGGCACTTACAACACAATATAAATTATTATAGTATAAAGCTAAAAAGATCCAACCTTTTAGATTAACTTTACCCCCCGGGGCAGTGCCACTGACAGGAGTGTCTTTAGGCCATTCCCAAAGGGGGGACATTTCTCGTTCAAGCATAGTAGAATTGTAAATG